AAACCCCAAATTTCTCACGATTCTTGCAAAATTCCCTCAGAGAATGAACCGATCATTATCACTGAGCTAGAAGCAAAACCCTAAACCCACAAAACTCAAACTCCAAAGGAACCCAGATGGTGAAAAAAAAACAAACCTTTCGACCTCTCTCGATGTATTTCATGGCAACAAGCTCTTTGGTGTCCTTATGCCTTAGAAGCCGAGCAACACCGAAATTCCCAGATCCCAAATCCTTGACAACATCGTACTTGTCCATTTCCAAAATCAACAAAAACGGTATGGATCGAATTCTTGCGAGTATATATGTATCTGTCTACTTATATACGAGCATGATCACGAGATAAAACGAAGTCGAAGAGGATCTGATGAGAAAGAGAGGCAAAATTTGCATTTGATGAAGAAATTGCGAGATCCAATACACAAGCATGTGTGTGTGTGTATCGATGGAGGAGTAAACGGAGGAGGTGATCGGTAATGGATTGGAACACGTGTAAGGTATGCTCGATTTCCCATGACCAGGAGCTTTGAGTGGACTCAGTCCAACGGTACTTTCCCGGTTTGGTACTATTTTGGTCTGTCAATTTCGGAACTGATTATTTGTTTAGTTTCATTTTTGTAGCATATTAAATGAAAATCTACAATCAACAAAACATTCACCAAAGTTAATAGTAATAATTAAGGTAGAAAACTTAGTTAAACGGGTTTAGATAATCCGCTTGAACGGTACCTGAATAGCTTGAGAAGCGAATCTTAGTTCTTTAGAGAAACTAGACCATTCTTTTGGTTTGCGATCATTTTGAAAATGTCATTCCATACATATAAAAGAGAAAATGCATGAGATGATGAACTATCCGGATTACTCGATCCTGATCTTATTCCGAAATGAACACCTGATCACTTTAATAGAGAGGAAGAGGACAATGTTACCGTGTATCACGAAAGCCAAGATGTCCTTAAATCAACGTTGATATATATAGCCGCTATTGCTGAAAATGCTAATCAAACAAGACCATATGCATCATGCTACAATTTTTGTTTCTTTCTGAATGATAGTTTTGGAAAAAGACGAATGCTATTTTTGTGTAAGATCTTTTACGAGTTTTTCTATGTTTCGTTTTGTGTTAATTAGTTACTCACGAAGGGGGAAACAAAAAATGTAAAAACTAAACTATGTGACTAAAGAGGTCATAAACAGATTTAGAGTCAAATCTTCTTAAAAAAAATTATTAAATCCAATTTAACATATTTATTCAGCAGATCTATCCATCATCTTCTTCACTTCGAGTGTAAAAAGCTCTCAACTTTACAAAAAAAAACACTTAGGGTTTCAAGCTTCAGATTCCTCTACTGTTACCCAAAAAAAAACATGGGTAAAGCTTCGGTGATCTTATACATCACTGTGGGGATCTTCGTCCTCTTCCTCATCTCTTATTCACCGAAGAAGAAGAGTGACCAAGATCACCACCACGGTGGTCAAAACCAACATCATCGACTCAAACTCCGTTCTTCTTTCAATTTCAAACCTACTCGTCACGATCCGGTTCCGTTCGATCCTCTCGTCGCCGACATGGAGCGCCGTCGCGAGGATAAGGAGTGGGAACGGCAGTACATTGAGCATTCTCACCCGGATTTAGCTTCTCATTCACAGAAAGCAGCAACCGATGATCACGCACCTGGTCACGAATCGCAGCCTGAGTGGGAGGATTTCATGGATGCTGAAGATTACTTGAATAATGAGGATAAATTCAATGTCACCGATAGGTTTTTGTCAAAAATCCGATCTTTGATTTTGTGTGTTAAATTACAAAATGCATACTTTGATTCTGGGATTAACTGGAAGGAATTAGTTTAGCCTATGCAGTTTTGGTAAAGGGAAGAGTTTAATTGGTGTTGGTTTTGCAGGCTGATTGTGCTGTTTCCGAAGCTTGATGTTTCTCCGGCGGATGGGTTTGTGACTGAGAGTGAATTGACTGAGTGGAATATGCTGTCTTCTGCTAAGGAAGTCATACACAGGACTCAAAGAGACATGGATGTTCATGATAGAAACAAGGATGGTTTCATTTCATTCTCTGAATATGAACCACCATCTTGGGTTCGGAATTCGGGTGAGCCGCAGTTTCTTGTTTCTTCTGTGAGAATCTCACTGACTAATATGATCATGCAGAAAGTACTTGACTTGATAGATTTTGCTTCAAAATGATTGGTGCATTTTCATTTTGTTTTATCAAAAAAATTTCGGTTTGAGCTCTTCTGCGTATGACCCATATGATCGTTTGTTTCTTTACCATATGATCATTTTGGTGTAAAGAATCTCTCTTTTTGTCTCTTAAGACTGCTAGCTGACTCAGTTATAAAATTTAACAGATAATAATTCCTTTGGCTATGACATGGGCTGGTGGAAGGAGGAGCATTTTAATGCATCAGATGCGGATGGTGATGGTCTACTGAATTTAACAGAGTTTAACGAGTAAGCGTTTTCTGCTAGTGATAAAAGCAACCAAGATTTGGTCACTACTATCATTTTCTCTCACCATGCTCTTTGTCATTAATTCTTTTCGCTTAGCTTTCTGCATCCTGCTGACACCAAGAACCCTAAGTTACTGCTTTGGTTGTGCAAGGAGGAAGTAAGGTAATGTACTAGAGGTCATATGTTTTTTTTTCATGTTGAAACCCTTCTTTCAGCTTATTGTTTATCTGACGGATTCTTCTCCTTCCATTTCCCAGAGAAAGAGATTCAGATAAAGATGGTAAGATCAGTTTCAAAGAGTTTTACCACGGCCTATTTGACACCGTAAGGAACTATGAAGAAGATAATCACAATTCTACGCATCCTTATCATGACTTGCCTGAAGGCCCTGCAAAGCAGTTGTTTGCTCAGCTTGACAAAGATGATGACGGGTACGCGATTTAAGAGTACACGCTATGATTACACATTCCGGTAAAGACTATGCATCCCTTAACATAGCTCCCTCCCGCTCATCTGCAGGTACTTATCGGACGTTGAATTGCTTCCCATTATCAGTAAAATCCATCCTACGGAGCATTATTACGCAAAACAACAAGCTGATTATATTATATCACAGGTACATTACTTTTAAAACAAATGGCCTAGTTTGCTGTTGAATTGCTTGATGTTACATTGGTCTCTCCTTTTCCTGATCTTCCAGGCGGATTCAGACAAAGATGGACGTCTGACTTTGGCAGAGATGATTGAGCATCCATATGTATTCTACAGTGCCATTTTTGACGAAGATGACACTGATGATGACTATAGCTTCCATGACGAGTTTCGTTAGTTTCATGATGAGTAAGCATCTGCCACAACCCTGGATTTATTATTCAATCTGTGTCCAAAAACGTTTAAACTTCAAACATTAATCGATATTCTCCATCGCATCTGATACACAAAACAGAGGAAGAAATAACATCAGGCTCAATTCGTTATAACTTCAAGGAACAACTCTCTCAAAACAGGTGATCTCAGTTACAGCAGGCTCCATGTTAAATCTTCTTTATAGTACCTTTGTTCTTAACTTTCTGATGGCGATTCTTATCCTGCAGAGTCACGAATCTCTCCCACGGCTGATCAACTGGTTATTTAGAAGTTAGAGGAGTATTTATGATTCTAAACATCTAAAAGAAACATACTTCTCTTTGGATCTTGTTCAATCATTATGCGTTCGTTGTACGTGGCTTTCTCGATTTTTGTATGTTCTACTTAGCAACACCTTTGAAGCTTAATATTTTATAAGCAAAGCTTATGAAGAGAAATTCTTATATATCAAAAGCCAGGACTGAGCCATAAACGGCAGATTATGATCCATTATCTTGAAATGCTAAATCGAAAAGAAAAAAGGGAGAGAGCCTCAACATTTCACTGTTTCCTTTATTTCATGTTACGAAGCTAACTCTCCGTAATGATTACCAACAATCATCAGGAGCCAAGATTTACGATTATGAAAGAAGTTTGAGAACTCACTTCACCACACAGATCTTGATAACCGAAGCCGCTCCAATACGGTGCAGCGCCACAACTGCATCTCCACGGTTACAAAGTCCTTTCTGTGTAGCTGACTTCAAAGCAGCCTCAATGATAACTTCTGTGGACTCGCTATCTGTTGCCTTTGCGGACCCTTCAGCCAACACAGGGAGTAAACCTCTGTATATTAGACTGTGCCTTGCAGGTGACTCGTCACTACAAGTCCAGTCAAAGGAATCGGTGGTCATAACTGGGACAACCACTGACAGAATAGGAACAGCCGGTCTATATTTAGCTACAAGCTTAGCAGTTGAACCTCCACGAGTCAGCACAATGATGAGTTTTGCATGCGCTTTGTTGGCAGTCCTTACAGCGGATGATGCAAGACTCTCCAGTGGGCTCATTGGAAGCGGAGTTGCTCGGATCATCTCTTTGAAGATTGTGTTGTAATCAAGTGAGCTTTCGGCTTCAATGCAGATCTTAGCCATAACTTTGACAGCTATTTCCGGATAAGCTCCTGCTGCACTCTCGCCACTAAGCATCACACAGTCAGTGCCATCAAGAACAGCGTTTGCAACATCTGTGGCTTCAGCACGGGTTGGCCTTGGTGATTTGATCATTGACTCCAGCATCTGAGTGGCTGTGACCACTGGTTTACCCGCAAGGTTACACTTGTAGATCATCAGCTTTTGAGCCAAGAAAATCTTCTCTATCGGAATCTCCATCCCGAGATCACCACGAGCAACCATGAACGCATCTGTTTCGCGCAATATCTCATCAAAGTTTACCACTCCTTCCTGGTTCTCAACCTTCAAAAATCAAACCCCGAAAACAGAAGTCAGATTCATGCCTCAATATACATAAAATGCAATCGCCATGAGTGAAAAATTCTAAGTACCTTTGACATCAACATTATGCTTTTAGCATGAGATCCAAGAACCTTGCGGACATTAACAAGATCTGAACCTTTACGGACAAACGAAAGAGCAATCATATCAATGTTGTTCGGAACACCCCAACCGAGAATATCTTCAATATCCTTCTCAGTCAAAGTGGGAAGATCCACAACAACACCGGGAAGATTCACGTTCTTTCTTTCACCGAGCATCGCTGTGTTTTCACACCGGCACCTAACCGTTCCAGACTCGGGATCACATGACACGACAGCTAGACTTATGCTTCCATCTGCACATAATATGGTGTTCCCAGGCTTCACATCAACAGGAAGCTTTTTATAGCTCATGGATATCGTCGTCTCATCTCCTTGAATGTCATAATCTGTGGTTACAGTAATCTCCTGACCTTCCTTCAGCTGTATAGGGTTCCCATCTTTCAAGAAACCAGTACGAATCTCAGGCCCCTGAGAATTCAACAAGGAAAATCACATGATCATAGTCTCTAAAACTGGTTCCTCTAGGCTTCTTTGATCAAAATCAGATAGTATAAATTCAATGATCAATACTTTAGTCTCTATCATGTACCCATCAACAGTAATAACCAAAGATAACATTTAACAAATTCCTAGTTTGATCTTGTATCTACTGACATTTTCTAATTGAAAAGCTGAAGGAGACGAACCGATTCGATGTTTACCACGGAATAGATTGATAAGAGAATCCATTAAACAAGAAGATAAGAGTTTTAAACCTTTGTATCAAGCATGACAGCAGCGAGAATGCCGGTATTTTGCATAGCGGAACGGAGATTGTCGAGTGTACCCTGATGGTATTCATGGCTTCCATGAGAGAAGTTGAAGCGAGCAACATTCATACCAGCTCTCAGAAGCTTTTCAATCATAGGAACAGAACGAGAAGCTGGTCCTAAAGTGCAAACAATCTTCGTTTTTGGAATCCTCCCATCATTAGGTAGCTCCTTCAATATCCCTTCTATGTCTATGTTCGACATTTTTCTTAACCAAAATTCACCAAATCCTTCTTCTCAAGAATTTCCCCTGAAATGAAAACAAATTGAGTCTAATTAATTCAGACCCATCAAACAAAACAAGCGAAAGAATATAAATTTCTCAACTTCGTTTACTTTAGATCCATTTTCTGTCGTTTCTAGACAAAGATCCATAACCAGACCACAGAAGAAAGTACTGAACAAATTGAAGGAACCAGAGTGACTGAGATTTGGATCCAGGACATAGAAGTAAGATAGATTGGAGAGTATTCGGGGAGTGAGAATTTACCTTAGCTCCGATTCTTTGATTTGTTGTCGTGTCGGAGAAAGAACCCTTGTTTTGGGGGTTGGACTTGTGTTAAGACTCTGGTGTTTTGGACTGTAATAAGATTAGCTTTTGAAAACGAAGACTGCCACGTGAACTCGAATTTTATAGTTGTTTGTTTAGGGAAAAATCTCAAAAAAAAAGAAAAAGTTTATTTGGTTCTGATTTTTTAATGTCTTTATTTAATGTACCTGGTTTTATTTGTGTACATTGTTTAAGCTTGTGGCTTGTTAATTTCTATGAGTGATAATCAAAACAAAATTTACTATTTAACTAATGCACGTTATGATCATGATTACTCTAGCAGAAGAATATGCCATCGATCCGAGATATGTGATTCTTGATTTCTTGTGTGTATTTATTTTTTTGTTTGTATCCATGAATTTGAGGGGCTTATACTTTTTTGTATAGAGACAATAAATACAAACATTTTTATACATTTTCCCCATAGTTTAGTTTGGTTCTTTGGAAATTTCAATGGCCATATTCCTAAGACCAATAATGTCTCCTCTCTTTTTTCCCTCTTGGCTTTATTAAGGAGCCATTTCTTCTAGACTTCAAGATCAACTAAATAATATCCAAAATCAAATAAAAATGATGAATCATTTTTCGTTTTGAATGCACTCATGACTCATTGAAAAGGGGAAAAAGGTCAATTCCCTCGTTAACTTCCGAACTTCCGTTTATTCATACGTGATCTATTAAGTTATGTCCAAACCCCCCATGAATTTGATATTATTTTAAATTTCCATTATCATCTATTAAAATCTGGTGAATTTACACAAAACCGGAGACGAAATATGTTTTCCGTTAACAGGTTGTGATGTGGATTACAGGTGGCTAACGGGGTTCGGTTCAGTTTTATGTTGACCAAAATCAATTGGGTTTTTGACCTGTTGGAAGAAAAACGACGCCGTTTTTCATTTGGGGGAAACAAAAAAGCTTTCAATCATACCAGATCCAACCTGAAACCCGACTCGACTCTCTACTTTCTCAACTTCCTTCGTCTTCTCCATTTTCCCTGACATACCCACAAGCCCTGGTTTCGGCCTCTGCTTCGTCCTCTCAAACTAAACCTCACCTCCAGTTGCTATCTCAAGCCAATACTTCGGTCTCTTCACTAACTCCACCGTCCGATTCACCGCTCCTCTCCGCGCCGTCGAGTTCGACACCGGACAAAACCCTGAGTTCAACGATATCGACGGGAACCACATCGGAATTGACCTAAACAACATCAAATCCATCAAATCCGAAACCGCTGGTTACTACAATTCTGTTAATGGAACCTTCGTTCCCTTTAATATGCGTAGTGGACAAAATGTTCAAGTTTGGATCGATTTCAATGGACCCAATTTCGAAATCAACGTTACGATCGCCCCCGCCAGTGTGATTCGACCTCTCCGGCCAACTCTTACCTTTCGTGATCCGGTTATCGCGAATTATGTGTCGGCGGATATGTTCGTTGGCTTCTCCGCTTCGAAAACGACTTGGGTTGAAGCGAGAAGGATTCTAGCTTGGAGCTTGAGTGATACAGGAGCTCTTCGAGAGATCAACCCAACGAAACGGCGTCGTTTTTCTTCCAACAGGTCAAAAACCAATTGATTTTGGTCAATATAAAACCGAACCGAACCCCGTTAGCCACCTGTAATCCACGTCACAACCTGTTAACAGAAAACATATTCCGTCTCCGGTTTTGTGTAAATTTACAAGATTTTAATAGATGATAGGGGAAATTTAAAATAATATCAAGTTCATGGGGGGGTCTTGGCCTAACTTAATAGATCACATATGAATAAGCGTGAGCTCGGAAGTTCAGTGGAGAATTGGCCTTTTTCCTATTGAAAGGTGAGCTTTTCTTTCATTTCACTTGACTTGACATTTTGTCTGTAACGGATTGATATTTGTTGAAAACAAAGTTATTTGCATGGTTGGTCAATGTTGTATTAGAATTTTTTGAGTAATAGATAAACAAATGTCGTTCTATTATCTATACCTTGTTAAATTAGAGAATTTTTTCCAATAGTCTTTGATACCTTCTTCACCATAATATTTTGCTATGTAATTTTCTTTTATGTACTTTGGTTTGTTTATAAAATTCATAAAATGAACAGAATTTCATTACTAGTAAGAGAAATCCATTCCAGAATTTGAAAATAATGTAATTTATCTTATCTTCCGGAGGTTATGTACTACAAAATGAGTTTGGCAAGATATGTTTTTGTTTTGGCAAAAAAAGGATCAAATCTTTAGATTAGTAGAAAACTTGAAATCAGAAACCAAGTTGTTACTAAACTACTTCAATTAATAGCCTCCATGGACTCAAAACTCACTCTTCTTGACGCTGGTGATTAGCAGAAGATGACAACATGGAGACATTTGATATCAAAGGGCTTCAAATGCGTTTGGGCGGAACATACTGCACCCGCTCTTCTTGGCATAGGAACTGCTCGCGGATTTCCGCCACGTACAAGTGAAATAAAAAGAGAACAGTCAATATGGAAACCGGGTCATCGTGTCTTTTAGAAGGATTGCTTATTGTATCGTTGAGCCGCGTTGAAGTAAATAAAACATCTTTACCTGCATTTCCTCTGGGAGTGCCTCTGAGACAGCAAGAGTGTAGCAACCAGGAGCAAACTTCCCTGGGAACAAGTTTTACAAAGTGTTAGAATCATTTCTGTCTCAACGAAAGCTCGCAATTCTGAGAAAACAAGATCAAGCCATTAACACAAAGAAATCTGAATGCCGCTACTGCTCAAACAGGTGTACACAAAACACTTAATCTGAAATCTAAAGAGCGGTTTTGGTGAATTAGATTTGATCTTATATCCATCTTTGAAGTGGCAGGCATATATTGCCAAAATGAGATTTAAAAATGTATTAGCGTAGCAATTAGGAACAAGATTATCATCACTACATATATTTCCAAACCGGGTAGCTTCAGAGTCAAAATCCTCAAGAAGAAAGGCAATAAAACTGCGCATTTCTTACATACACATTTCTATCTTTCAAAAGAGAAAGATGTGATGAACGTACCAGTAGTATCACCATCTATCAAGTATAATAGCGAGACAAAAACAACAAGCAATTGAAAGAAGAAGCAACACCGCAATCGAAAACTCAAAAAAAAAAAAAGGGAAGTCAAAAGTTGAGGAAACAGAGCTCAAACATACCAATTCTTAACCACCTTGCTCCCCAACTTCTGCGTGGATCCATCACAGAGATTATACTGCAAAACAATCATAATATCAAATACCTTATGTATGGAGCGATCAACACTACCACCTATCTCTCTCACTGACTGGCATGAAAGAAGTAAAAAAAAAAACAGTCTTAAAGCAGCAAACTTTAACGCAATCACTCAATCTTATCAATAGGTATTAGAACTACAGTTTCAGTTTCATCATCCTAAGCCAGAGTCTCACCAAGATTCCGACTTTATCCATGTAACCACGAGGACACACGCAAAAGAGAGAGAGAGAGTTATGAACATTGGCAATATTACATTGCCCAGTAAATTAAAATCAAGGAATTGGAAATTTAGGTCGTACCCATTGAAATTAAGAGCGGTAACATCAACAATACGCTCATGATCGTCTTCCATTTTGAAGAAAGGACAATTCTCGCACCCAGAATCTCTAAACTGTTTGGGGAAACCAAAAGATATCACAAACGAAGAACATTTAAACACACAACACACAC